AAAAAAAAAAAAACAAACCACAACACTTCATTATGTTTAGGGGGAAACTGTATTTTAGGGTTCATCGTCTTGGTGGTGTACAAGACTTGTTATTCATTTTAAAATGGTAGTGGAAATTCTATGCCTTGGATATACACAGCTCTTCAGGTTGTATAAAAACATGCATTGGGGAAAGGTTTAAGATTATATAGTACTTAAATATAGGAAAATGCACACTCATGTTGATTCCTATGCTAAAACACATTTATGGTCTCTTTTTTCTGTATTTCTAGAATGGTATTTGAATTAAATGTTCATCTAGTGTAGGCACTATAGTATTTATATTGAAGCTTGTATTTTTAACTGTTGCTTGTTCTCTCAAAAGGTATCGATGTACCTTTTTTGGTAGTGGAAAAAAAAAAAAAAACCACAGGCTGCCACAGTATATTTTTTTAATTTGGCAGGATAATATAGTGCAAATTATTTGTATGTTTCAAAAAAAAAGAAAAAAAAAAAAAGACAAAAAGACAAAAAAAAGTGTGACATTGTACAGATCCGAGGCCATATAATGGCTCTCTGGGGGAAACCTGTTCCGATGTCACGCTGCTGGCCGTCACAGAGGGGTGTACATATCTTTTTTCGTTCTTTTTTCCTGCTGCCATACTGTATGCAGTACTGCAAGCTAATAACGTTGGTTTGTTATGTAGTGTGCTTTATGTCCCTTTCCTTCTATCACCCGACATTCCAGCATCTTAAAACTTCATATGCAGTAAAAGAAAAGAAAAGAAAAGAAAAGAAAGAAAAGAAAAGAAAGGAGGAAAAAAAAAAAAACTTAAAAAAAAAAAAGGAAAAAAAAAAAAAGAAAAGAAAAAAAAACCGTTTTGCAGTTTTTTTCATTGCCAAAAACTAAATGGTGCTTTATATTTAGATTGGAAAGAATTTCATATGCAAAGCATATTAAAGAGAAAGCCCGCTTGAGTCAATACTTTTTTGTAAATGGCAATGCAGAATATTTTGTTATTGGCCTTTTCTATTCCTGTAATGAAAGCTGTTTGTCGTAACTTGAAATTTTATCTTTTACTATGGGAGTCACTATTTATTATTGCTTATGTGCTCTGTTCAAAACAGAGGCACTTAATTTGATCTTTTATTTTTCTTTGGGTTTTTTTTGGGGGGGGGATTTTTTTTAATTTTTTTTTATTACTTTTTTTTTTTTTTATTATTATTTGGATGACCAAAGGTCATTACAACCTGGCTTTTTATTGTATTTGTTTCTGGTCTTTGTTAAGTTCTATTGGAAAAACCACTGTCTGTGTTTTTTTGGCAGTTGTCTGCATTATCCTGTTCATACACCCATTTTGTCCCTTTATTGAAAAAATAAAAAAAAAACCTTAAAGTACACAGTGTCAGCTTCTGGTGTCCTCATTTGACACACGCTGGAGGTGGCTTCCAGCAGCAGGACGTAGGAGAAGGTCCCGCGCAGGGGCGTTCTGGGGGACGTGCTCCTATCCCCGAGGAGCGCCCGCCACCCAGCCAGGCCTTAAATAAGCCGCCTCTGCCCAGGAAGAGGATTTTTGGGCTAAGGAGTTTGCTTTCCGGCCAGTGGAAAGCATTTGCAGTCTGGACCCGTAGTTTTGGGATTTTTTTTCCCCTCTAGTTCAGGACTGACCCGTGACCCCCTCACCGCGATAGCCTGCGGCATCCCTGGCCTTCACTGGGTCTGCAGCAGGGACCTCCCTCCCTGTTTGGCAGTGCTTTGGCAGAAGAGGTGAGCAAACAAAAAGCTCTGCAGCCCTCCCAGAGGCTCCCCAGTCCCTGGCTGCTTTTGGGGACCTGGGGTGAAATCAGCCACGTGGGCAGGAGCTGATTTCTCTCGGGGGGCTGAGACCTTACACCGCGGCTCCGGGATTGCACTGACCCCAGCCCAGCACCGCTCCTGGCTGGAGCTGGGAGCTGCCCCCTCTTCTCCCCTGGGCTTTTATTTTTTTGGTGGGAATCGCAGGTTTCTGTGCATTGTCTCTAAAACCCGGAGTTCAGGTCTCCCCTGTTCCCCCTTAGGGGTCTGTATATGTTGTCAGTTTGACAAATACTGCATGTTGCAGCATCTCTTTACTTTATTAAAGCACGTACCGCTGTGATATTGTCTCTTGCTGTTCCTAGTGTAATGGATTTAATAGTTTTTTTTTTCTTTTCCTTTTTTTGATTTTTGTAAAACCTTCCAGTTGTTCTGTTGTCTTCTTGTGATGGCATCGTTTGTTGCCTGTATTTTGCCCGGGACCTTCTGAAGGGGAAACTTTGGGATTTAAAAAAAGACAGAAATAGGTATCTAAAGAAAAAGGCTTGCTCCTTTAATAAGAGAGATTAAAAAAAAAAAATAAAGCTCCATTTTAATCCTGGGACAGAAGGAGTGAAGGTTGCGTTGTCCGGGGTAGCGGGATGAGCTTGCAGCGGGGCTGGAAAAGCTCTGGCAGTGCCCTTGAACTGCACTCCCCCTTTGGGAGCTGGAGCTGTGTGGATGCAGGCACTGCTGGAGGGATCCCTAGCACAGTGTAGGGGAGGCAGAGCCTGCCACCAGCGTGGTGAGCTCGAGGTGTCAGGATGGACACTGGCTGTTCCCAGGAGAGCTGGTGTATGCAGGGATGCGCTTTGCAGCTGCCTTGCTGACACGACTCTTGATCCCGTGCCGTGGAGTATCTGTACAGAGTCCAGTCTCTCCCTTTCTCTCATTATTTTTATTGCTGGTTCAGACCACGATCAAGATGTTGTCTAGAGGACTCTGGTTAGCTGGTGTGCCCGGGGTTGAGCGTAGCCTGGCTGTCTTTTGGAGTGGGCGCTGTTC